TATCACACAAAAAAACCCAAACAGAAAATCTACAATTTAATTTAGAGATGATAAAAAATACCTTCTTATCATACCCCAAATTCTAATTTTGATAATGTAACCGTTCCTACCCCACCAATCCCAAAAAAGCAAGGTCATTGTTTTTAAAAGGAAAACGTTCATATGAAATGAAGAGAGGCAGTCTCACGTTGGAGGCAAAAGAAAGGACAAAGGAAATAACCTGTTTTCCACTATCAACCTTTCTGAGTTGATGCTTCCCTGTGCATCATCCCGTTATTTTAGCCAAACTCTCAGCTCGATTTGACCCAGCACATGAATCTCCTTCTCCACCAAACGTTCTGTTGGAAACCAGCCCTAGCCCACCCCACAGATGCCACATGGGTGCCCTACATGCCAACACATGGGTCAGAAGCAAGAAAAGAGGTTGCATCCTCCAGTTCCAGCACCTGCCCGGTACCCTGAGGCACGGGTGGCACTGCTGCTTGTGCTGAAGTTGCTGCTGCTTGCAGATTTTTGGGGCTGTTCCTGCACTGCACCCCTCACCATCAAGCTGCTCACACCGTGGAGCCCACAGGGCTGCAGCAGGGCTTTGCTGGCACACACAGTGGTGCCACGTTTCCACCCTCACACGTGTCCCCGTGGCTCTGCCACTCATTTCTCCTCCAGGAGGCAATTGGCGTGCAAAGCCCCAAAACTCCCACTGAGTACAAGAAAACCTCCTGCCTAAGAAAATAAATGTGTTCTGCGCTCTCTCTGAGCTACCCACAGCAAAGCAAATATGGGCACAGTTGGCTCCCACCACGGCTCTGTTCCTTAAAAACATGTCATTTCAGTCAAACTCTTCCTGGCACATCTGGCTGTCATCAGATAGAGGAGAAAGACAGTCTGTGTCTTCCTCCTGCACGTAGCACAACCAGCCCTGTACCTCGGTATTGCACTTGTCATCCAAGACATCCACAGCCCAAATGGGAATCCCACTGGCTCTGCAGTGGGAGGGCTTGGCAACAGCATCCTCAGGAAGGTGCAGTGCTCTGGGTACCAAACCACCTGCACCAAACAGAGAAGAAGGGAAAAGAGAGGCATCAGGAGGCAGCAGCTGCAGGCCCTGCCAGCTCAGTTTCCAGCCTCAGCATGGGTGCTGATGATCTGGGCAGTGACAGTGACCCAGAAATCCTGTCTCAGCTGAGTTTTGGTATCTTGAAGGTAAGGAGCCTCTCGGTGCAGACTGAGCATTCACAGACACTCTGTGGGGACTAATTACCAAAAGTGAGTTATAAAGGCTGAACACAAAAAGCATTTGTAAATATCTGGCTTGTGTTTTGGTCTCTCCATGCCAGGTTCATGTCCCACCTTCTCTTAAGGCAAACAGAAGGAAGAAGGGTTGGTGGGCACAGACCTTTTGGAGGAGCTGGAAGGAAATGTCATCTGTGGCATCAACCATTCTCCTCTTTTTAGTGACCCAAGTCCAAGGTCTCAGATCAAGGCAACGAGAAAAGGGACAGGATGGAGGAGGAGCCACAACAATCCCTTGACTTGGAGCCATGTCAGGTGCCATCAAGGCAGTGGCAGCAGCAACTCTAAGGACTCGAGAGAAGTCCTTGGCAAGGCAGCCACAGGATCTGCCTTGTGAAACAGCAAAAACTGTCTCAGTGCAAGGCAGACATCATCCAGTTCACCTCTGCTCCCCCTCAGTGCATCCCACCAGGTGAAGCTTTCTCCTCGTCCTCAAGCAGACTGTCTGAGCTGTCAGAGAAGAAGTCCTCCAGTTCCTGCTGCCTCATCCTGGACTCCAGAGCAGTGATGCGCTGCTTGAGCTTCATCTGGGCATCACTGTACTCTGCCAGGAGCCGGCCAAAGCGGGTGTGCAGTGTGTCCAGGTTCGAGGCCACCCTGTCCAGCTTCTCCTCCATGCTCTTCCCTTCTGTGCTTTCCTCTGCAGCTGACTCATCCAGCAGCCCTTCCTTGATCAGTATCTCCCGGCCACGCTCCTCCAAAATCTTTCTGGCATCAGGATACTCTGTGACTGCTTCCATAAGATCTTCCTTTGACAGGCAGAAGAGATCAGAGTAGCCCAAGCTACGGATGTTGGCCGTGCGCCTGTTGCCCATTTTGCTCCCTTTGATGTTGAGGATGCTGATCTCTCCAAAGCAGCCTCCTGCAGTGAGCAGAGCATACTGTGTGGTTCCATCATCCGCCACCACAGCCAGCTTCCCCTCCTTGATGATGTACATCTCTTTCCCAATGTCCCCTTTCCGGCAAACGTAATCCCCTGGGCTGAACACCTGAGGGTGAAGCTTCAGCACCAGCTCCACCAGCAGTCCTGCCTCACAGTCCTGGAAAATCCTCACCTTCTTCAGTGTCTCCAGGTGAACGTTGATGGCAATCTCTGCCCTTAACTTATCAGGGAGGTTCTTGAGGACCTCCCGTTCGTCCACTGCCTTCTGGTTGGTCCACAGGTAGTCAAACCACTTGATGACTTTGGTTTCCAAGTCTTTGCTCACCTTGCGGAACTGCATGTAGTGCTTGATGGAGTCAATTTTTGCCTGGAACTCTGCCCTGGTGGCATTCATGTTGGATATCATGGATCCCACATTCCCCACAATGGTGGCAAAGATGAGGACCCCGATGAGGAAGTCGAAGATCACAAAGAGATATTCTTCATCACGCACAGGGGGAGGGGTCTCTCCAATGGTGGTCAAAGTCAACGTAGACCAGTAAAGACAGTAGACATACCCCCGGGTCAGATGCCCATATTCAGGGTCTGTGACATTGGGATAGACCCAGGTGTCCTCTCCAAAGCCTATGGCCTCGGAGATGGCATAATAAATGCATGCATTCCAGTGGATGATGACCAGGATGTAAAGAACCAAGTTGCTGATGCGGAAGATGTTGGGGTGGCTGGTTCTGGTCTCAGTCCTATCAAAGAACTCAAACATACGGGAGAAGTGCAGCAACCTGTTGAAACGTAATTCAGGGCAGTGCAATCCCACTGCAAAGTATGCCAGGTCTGTGGGCAGGACAGAGACAACATCCAGCTTGAACTGTAGGGTGTGGATGTAGTTATCCCGTAGCTTCTTCAGGTCCTTAACCAGGAGGCCCTGTTCCAAAAACCCTAAAGAGAAGCAAATGATATGATTATCTTGGCTTATGTTTGACTCTTCTGCCTGTTTTGTAAGCACTTGAGCAACAGTTTATGGTTATGTCATGCACTTGTGTGCATGAATACCCAGGGTCATCCAAATATTACCAGTTCCACCTGCTCTACTCAGTTTACAAGCTTTTGTTATCACCAAAGCCCTTCATCTGTCAAAAGCCACCTAAAGATATCACTCAGGGATTCAGTCTGTTGCCATGAAGAAATGGGGACACGAAGATTTCCATCCTTCAGATCATGAATTATTGCAGTTCCGACAGAAAACGTACAGCCAACAGCCACATTCTGAGAACATTAAATTCTACCATTTTTCCACGTAGATAATTCATTAGCTGAACTGATGCAAAATCAGAGATACAGACCTTCCAACTATGCCTGAATACTAATAGTAATGCAGGTAATTTTGTACAATTATTCAAAGGTGAAGCTGAAAGCTGGGATGATTAATCCTTCATTCTGAAACTTACTCCATTTCTCAGATCTTTTAATTAGATTCTTTCTCTGGAGACTGCTTCATACTAGTGAGTGCCAAGGTAGACAAAACCCTCCCTCTAACAGAACTGTAGATTAGGCCTCTCCCTTGCAGCCCATCTCCACTTGTATGGGATTAAAGCAAAGCACTCACAATCCAGGATGCTGTGAGTTACCTGTGCTTACCTGTGCGCAGGCGGATCACTGTGTCCCCAAGGTAGAGAGCATCTGAGATGTAATCTAACCCCAGCCACAGGACAACGTAGGTCTCTTGCAGGTCAGTGAAGCAAGCCCTGGAGGAAGGTCATAAAACAGGGTGCCAGACCAAAAAATCTCCATATTATCTCTAATTATTACAGCTGAATATAGGCTGATTCCGAGGCGCCTAACTCCGCAACAGAGCTCGGCCACTGGCCACTCCTCTTCCAGAAATTGAAACTCCCTTCTCTGAAAAAACTGCCCTCCCATGATGTAGGTAAAGCAACGTCTTGAAACCACCTCCCAAATGCAAGTTGTAGCTTTACCCTGAAATCGTGGTCCTTTCCAACCAGGGCCAGAGGATGGAGGCTCTGCCTTTGCAGCGCACAGCTCGCAGTGATAGTGGAGGGTCCCTTTCCTTCAGGTTCCCACCAGCCCCAGCACCACCAGTGTCAGTTGTCTGATCCTGGTTGAGCCACTACAACCAGGTGGAACAGGAGGCTTAGGGAAGGCAGGGACCCCCAGCTCACCTGGCTATGAGCAAGCACCAGTTATAGAGGACAGGAACTGCAATCACAGCCAGCCAACGGTAATACCAGTCCCCAGCAGGGTCCACCACAAAGAACTGCCATTTCCTCCTGGAAGCAGAGAGAGGCCAGAGTTGGCAATGTATGAATAAAAGGCTAAAGATAGAAAACAGCATTGGAAGGAACCATCTGAGCCACATCCTTCATCCTTTGCACTGCACTGGCTCAAATATTGCTGCAGCTTGAACGCCAGTCTATGAGCTAAAACCGATCCCAGCAGTGCTGAACAAAAATGTCCAGCACTGTTTAAGCTCCTTTATCCCTAAATCTGGACTCAATAATGTACCAGAAGAGGAAACTGTAAGGCAAAACAGGCATCCTACATGACACAGCACCCCAGTGGTAGAGCCAGGAACAGATGTACGGGAGAGGGTGATCAGAAAACTTCTTGTGACATGACATTGCCTCTCCCAGATGAGGTATGAACTGGTGCCAGACAGATCTTAAAAGAAGATTAATTACAGCAGGAAGGAAAGTGTGCTGCAGATCAGTGGCAGCACCAGGAGGGGATGCCCAAGGCCCAGAGCAGCAGCCCTGGGGGCAGCTGGCATGGTGGGGCTGCCACCACTGTGCCTGCAGTCTGCACAGCCCTGGCTCCAGCCTTTGAACTGCTCCCAAGTGTTTGATCCTGCTCATCTTGAGACTTGGAGATAAGATGTGTGTGCTCCAGTTGCCAGATCTCACTGGAGAAGCCGGGGAAGAGAAACTCTGTGGCTGGGCTGATAGGCTTAGCTGCTGCAGCCTGGCAGGGCAAAACACCCTGTCCCCCTCCCTCCTTCCCTCCCTTCCAGCTTTTGAACACACAAAACTCCCTCCAGTGATAGAAAAGAAACAGCCCACTTGCCAACAGATGCACCGTGCCCACCCCATGGCTTCTGACAGCTTCAAAGGCAAAACCTCTGCCTTGAAGTTTCCTTCCCCAGCAGCACAGGCAGCAGCACCCACAGTTCCTGGAGCGTGGGGACCAGCAGTGATCCTTCACATTCAGCCTCCATACAGCCACAGTCAAGCAGGTGGTCCAGCCTCCCCATTAAAAGTGCCTTTTCTTTTTTTGTCAAGAAAGTGTGACTTAAATATTTGGGGTATTGAGAAAGGGACTCTGCTCCCTAGGACATACAGCACTGCCACGGGGGAAGCACAGACCTGCAGCCTGGCCAGTTGTAGCACCCACAAGCACTAATAACCTCAATAACAGTGCTGATGCAATCTCAGCTTTAAATCACCAGTGCTGCCCATGAGAGGTGGCCAAAGTCACTGACATTATGCTGACAGTGGAGCCAGGGCTGGAAAACCAGGGCTCAGGGTTAGCCCAGGAAGAGGGAATAATCATCTGCCTCTTCCCAAAGGGTTTGCACTCAGGTCTGCAGCCCTGGAGCCTACTACAGCCATGAACAGCAGCTCACACTTGGGGTTACCACATCTGGGGCTTTTCTTACTTCTGGAGTTGAAGACCTAGAAAACTGCAGAAGTTCCCATCTCATCCCCAGGGCTCACTGGCACTGAGCAGCCCTTTCACACTTCAGCTCCTCCTGGTTATTAACAAACTCCCCTCAACCTCACAGGGTAGAATGGTTTTTTCTCCCATCACTAGTAAAGACCCAGATACAAGGCTCAGATATTTTTCTCCTGCAGAAAACAATTATTTCTTGGTGGTTTAATTACCATGTATAATGGTAGGGTCCAGAGTAGTCTGTGAGCTTTGCCCTCTAATTAGTCAGTAGAAGAAAAACCAGGTTATTGCTTTTCACCAGGAGTGTGAGCTAAGGAGATGAAAGGGCTGGATTTGAAAGAGCCTTTTCACAAAGCTGTTCTTTGGGGGGGAAGGCCTGGGCAGCAAACACATTCCCTTCATCTCCTTTCATCCTGCAGATGATGGATGAGACTGGCAAATCCCACGTGTCTGTGGCTCCTGGGTGGGATTGCTGTGGTTGCAGGGTGGAGACCCCGCACCCCTGGGCTGGTGTCCAGCTCCTCATGGGCACAAGTGTCCCAACACAACCCTAGTGTGGAACTGCTCTGCAACTGGGGAGGTCTGCTACCTGTCACAAGCCGTGCCAGGTGTGTTTCCTACCAGGGTATGGACCAGAGGACAGAAGACCCCACATGCCAAGTCTTTCCCACAGGGACAGACCACCAGGTCCTGTGTGCCAGCAAAAGAACCCAGCAAAGCCAGGCTGGCTGCCAAGACAGGGGCTGGAAAGGGCAGGAAGGACCCTTTCCACCCCTGCCTCCCACCTCCCCCTTTCCCATCCCCATCCACCTCCATCAGCCACCACCACTGGGAGCCCCTGAGCACCATGGACAGCTGCTCCAGCCGAGGAGGGCTGGGACCACAGGAAAGGGACCCTACTTGTTGTTTAACTTCTCAGTCTCCTCATCCTCTGGTTCATCACCAGTGCCTGCAGCCACTGTCGGGAGCTCGGGGCCTTGGAAGCGCTCCAGGAAGGGGTCTGGCCTCTGCTGCTCCTCTTGCAAGCTCCTGTTGGCCCAGTCCCTCAGCACCAGCACCAGCCGGGCTATCCTGGGCAGGGGAGAGAGGAAGAGTCAGGAGCTGTCTACAGAGCAAGGAGAAAGCAAAAGCTTGAGAGCCACTGGGGGGGACTACAGCTGAAAACAAAATTCCCACAGCTCCCTCTCAAGCCCAAAAACTTCTTTTTCCCTCTAGTATTGATGATGTGGGACCATAAATACACAAGCAAGAGGGACCACCCCTGTAGAGTTCCACAGCTTCTCCCCCAATCCTGATGCCATTTCCACAAGAATTTGAGGAATCTGTGGGTCACTGGGGCAGAGGGGGGCTGCCTGCAAGGGAAAGGAGCCCCTGAGCCCTCCCAGGGCCCCAGTGGTGGTGAAGCCATCCCATGCCACAACCCTCTCCATGGTCAGTGGGGCACAAGGAGCAGCATTCACAGATGCTGGTCCCTGCATCCCATGAATGCCATACAGCAGGAGGGGATCCCAACCCCTGCAAGGCCCCAGTGGGAAAGCCAGGCACGAGAGGCTCAGGCTCACCCCATGCCATGGCACACACAGGTACCTGGCCAAGGCTCTCCGGCCTCGGAAAGCAGAGGCAGCTGTCTGCTCCTCCCCATCCGGGGGAGCTCCTCTCCACAGCTCTGAGGAGGTGTCATCCTGGGTTGAGCAGGTCCTGCAGTGGGGAAAAGGGGTGTCACAACCAACACTGTGCCATCATGGCACCTGCCACAGCCAGGGGAACTGGAGGGAGCTGGCAGCAGGGGTTGGGAATCGTAGCCCTGCCCGTGCCAGGTCTCAGC